CCTCCAGATTTAAGTGTTAAAATTTTGGAATTTCAAAATTACGCGGCCACTACTGCAGCCACGTGACATCATATGTTATTCTTAACCAGCAATAGGAAACAAATTGTCTACTGTTGCCTTTTCAGCAGATCTGAGTGTTGGGGTAAAATCTCAAATAATAATGTTGGATTTGGTGTCAAAATATTGAATGTGATCAAAGTAGAGAGAGAGTAATGTGGAAATCATCTGCCCCACAGGTAGGGGGAGGGTGTGGGATGGGGGCATACTGGGGTTGTTGGGGATGGAGAATGGGCACTGGTGAAGGTACGGGTGTTTCATTGTATGACTGAGAATTATACCCAAAAGCTTTTTAAATGCTCTCACGGTGATTCAATAAATAAAATTATAAAAAAAATTAAAAAAAAGTAAGGTGGAGTTCATGCACAATTCAATCAGTTCATCAGTGGCTGAATAAATAGCAGTACTCCTACATTAAAAAAAAGTCTTGTTATCAACTTTGCATATTAGCCTAGAAATATGCCTGTTGTAAATACCAAAGTCTTTTGATTAGAAACCAAAAGAATAGTACTTGGTGTGTGTGTGCATGTGTGTGTGTATGTTTGTGTGTATGTGTGCACGTGTGCACTTGCACACACCACACCTGGCAATACTCAGGAATCACTTCTGATCCTGTACTCAGGGATCTCTCCTGGAGGGCTCAGGGTAACCATATGGGGTGCCAGAGGTCAAATCCAGGTCAGCCATATGAAAGGTAAGTGCCCTAGCAGCTATACTATCACTCCCGCCCCAAGAAATTTATGTTTAAAAAAAATGGATCATTAAGCATGGATATTGTTTTTCTGGGAAAACCACTTTCTCAGGGACAAAAATCTAAGGTCAGATATCTACTCTGCATGTGCATGAGTGTGTGCCTGTATGTATGTGTATGTTTATACTGATACATTATATCCTTAAAACAAACAAACAAAAAACCAAACCAAACTGCAGAGCCATTGAAATACCTAAGTATTGGGATTTTGGAGAATGCTATTCTTTTTTTTCTTTCCTTTTTTTTTTTTTTTTTTTTTGCTTTTTGGGTCACACCCAGTGATGCTCAGGGGGCACTCCTGGCTCTGCACTCAGGAATTATTCCTGGCAGTGCTCAGGGGACCATATGGGATGCCAAGGATTGAACCCGGGTCAGCCGCATGCAAGGCAAATGCCCTACCTGCTGTGCTATCACTCTGGTCCCGGACAATGCTACTCTAAAAACTTTTTCTGGTACAATTTTTTTCTTTACTATGATACATCAGGAGTGAAAGTGTGGAGTACCAGGTCATTTAAATCTTGCCCATGGAACAGGCAGCCAATAAGAATAGGTAATGGGATGGCTGGGGGGTAGGATAGGGCAGTAGATAAAACTCTCTCTCTCTCTTTCTTTCTCTCTCTCTGTCCTTCTCTCTCTTTCTGGAGACTGAGGAAAGCATACACAGGATAGAGTAAGTGACACAAGGAGAGGATATGACCATCATTCACAGGAAATTAGTAGACTGTATGGGATGAGACAGGGAAGACATTCTCAGGATAGGGCAGCATCATGGACAGGACCAGTGACATCGCTCATGTATAAAGGAGGGGCCTGGACATAGGGGAGGACCCAGACCATGTACTTTACTTGTAAAAAAAAAACCAAAAAAACCCTCTAATTTAATGTACTGAGTTTTATATGCAGGAAAATCCACTTTTGCACTAACAACTATGCATCATTTAAAAAATTTGCAGAAGAGTCTCCTTTGCCTGGAACAGAATATTTATTTCAAATAAGGAAGTCACCATGTGTATATCTGGGAGTTGAGGGTTGGGCCACACCCAGTAGTGACACTGTGCTTAGGGATTACAACTGGTGGTGGTCAGGTGACCATGAGTGGTGCTGAGGATCTACCCCGTATCACACACAAAACAAGCACTTTAATCCCTGTACTGTCTCTCTGGATCAGTCACAGCACATGAAAAAACATAGAGAAGGGCCACAGAATTAGATTCCTCGCTATGATTCTTTAAGGAAACATATAGACTATAAACGAAGAGATAATTTCTTCTCATTAACAATTCAATCTCTGAAACACTAACCTTTTATTTTGCTTATTCATTTTGGGTTTTAGGCCACACCTGGCAGTACTCAAACTGTGTGCAAGGATCACTCCTGGCAGGGCCTGGGGGAAGGGGATTGAACCCATAGCACTTTTAAACTCTCAAATCCTAACTTCCACAGCCAGACTGGACTCCCCACATCCCCACCAAGAAAAACATCTCTGTTCGACCTGAGTTTGTGAACCTAATCTCAATTCAGCTGCCAGCATTTTTTAAAGTAGTTAAGATAATATATCTGAATGGACAGAATTAAAGTCAGAAAGGGGTAAATGACCATAAATTGATGGAATCTTAGCAGGCTCTTGGGAGCAAGAATTTGACCACAAGATCCTTCTTCCATCACATCATTAAATAAGAAAAGGAAGTTCCTTTTGATATTTAAGGCAAGAAAATGAAGGTTAAGTGAGCTCTAGGATTTTAAGTAATAAGTAACTCATTACTCATGAAAGAAAAGCACGGGGTAAGCTTACGTAATTACTAAAATTAGTAGTAAACCCAGAAGAATTTTAACATGAAAATATATACCTCAGACAAAAGACAAAGAGAGAGAAGAAACTTTTCTTAGCATGTGAGAACCTAGTAATTCCTTTGAAAATAGAATCAACACGCCTACTCTGTTCTGGATCAACATTCAATTAATGCTACTGGCTGATTAAATAGTGACATCTAGAAACTCCACTCATTGGTAAACTGACTGGGTATGTATCTGGGGAAAAAATGACTGTGATTTAAAGAGACTATTAGCAGAGACGAGATTCTATTTGTTTACATGAGCTGGAAAGAAGCATCTAATTCATCACAGCCATGCTGCAAATACATCAACCCAATCTGAACTACATTAAAGGCCTTTCCAAGTTCTTCACAGGAGAATCTTTTCACAGAATATGCCTCAGGGATGCTGCACGTCTGGATCCAACCTGAGCCTAACTTTACAGAGTGAATGAAAACCAAAAAACTAAAGATTCGCAAAAGAAGAGGAAGAGCTCACAGCTTTCCAAATAAGACAAAAAGAATCAGAATCGTTTGGGTGGAAAATAATGATTGTTGATTGAAACTTTAAAAATAAGAAAATATTTGCTAGGGGTGTGGCTCAGTGGAAGAGCACCCACATGCCTTGCATGTATGAAGCCCTGGGTTTCATCCCCAGTGGCACAAGAAAAACACACAAAAAGCAAATTCAAAAATATTTTCTGCAGTGAGAAAAAGGAAAATTAAAGAAAAAAAAAAAGAATCAGTGCTTGGGGCTGGAGTGATAGTACAGCAGGTAGGGCATTATCCTTGCATGCAACTGACCCAGATTCAATTTCTGGCATCCCTTATGGTCCCCTGAGCACTGCCAGGTAATTCCTGAGCACAGAGTCTGGGGTAAGCCCTGAGCATTGCCAGGTGTGTACCCAGAATAAAACAAAACCAAAAACAGAAGAATCAGTGTTCAAATCTTGTCACTGTCTATTTCTCCATTTTAATTTCTCATAAAAGCAGCCAATCTATGGTCGGAGAGACCACAGAAGGGCACATCCTTGCATGAGGCTGACCCAGGTTCGATGCCCAGCACCAAATAGGGTGCCCTGAGCCCTACCAGGAGTGACCCCCTAGCAAAGATCCAGGAGTATATCCTGAGTACCCCCAAACAAACAAATAAAACAAAAACCTACCATATAGACAAAAATGATAGCTTTATTTTAGTTCCAGAAAATTTAAAGATCGAAGATTTAACTTCAGAAATTGACTAGCCATGCTTTGCTTTGAGGTGAGAATGCTTAAGAGCAGGTTCAGTTTGGATCACTTCAGACAAACAGAGATGGTGAGAAACATGCACAAGAAAAAGGAACTGTTTATCGATTTAAGAGATTACATAAGAAATTTCAGGTGAAGGGAAAATTCTGCATGTCACACTTCTGCACACGAACCTACAAACCTACAAAAAAATATATATATATACACACATAAATATATATATATTCTTTTGGGTCACACCGGCAATGCACAGGGGTTACTCCTGGCTCTGCACTCAGGAATTACTCTTGGAGGTGCTCGGGGGACCATGTGGGATGCTGGGAATCAAACCTGGGTCAGCCTCTTGTAAGGCAAACGCCCTAGCCACTGTACTATTGCTCCAGTCCCCAGATATTCTTATAACCAGAAGATAATTTATATAAGATTCAATTGCATGTAACATCATGAAGCTTGGATTATGGTTCACATCACAGCCTGATTAAATAGAATGACATCGTCACACACTATATATTCAAAATCAATCTAAGTTAGCAAGTGGTGGAGAATTGCCAAAGATCAAAAAAAGCAGATCCGGGGGCTGGAGCGATAGCACAGTGGGTAGGGCATTTGCCTTGCACACAGCCAACATGGCCGACCCGGGTTCGATTCCCAGCATCCCGTATGGTCCCCCAAGCACCACCAGGAGTAATTCCTGAGTGCATGAGCCAGGACTAACCCCTGAGCATCGCCGGGTGTGACCCAAAAAGCAAAAAAAAAAAAAAAAAAAAAAAAAAAAGCAGATCCATCTAACTCTTTCCTCATAAATGCTTGAGAAGAACAGACTCTTCAGGGCCTGTGGAATAATACTGAAATAGCAATCCTATATCTGAAAACACTCACTGCCTGAGTTTCTCTGTGTACAGAAAGGAAGCGGTTTCTAGGGTGTGTTTACTGGAGATAACCCAACTAGCTCTGCTCCTTCCTTCCTCCTGTTTCTATTTTAACGAGGAGCATAGAAAGCCTCCTCCCCACGTCCTGCCCAGTCCCACCCCCAACATAAATGTGCACATTCTTGAACGTGTTGAAAGAAGTCATCTCTGGAAACCAGAAGGTGTGGGGGTGCCAAGAGTCAGGAATTGTAAGCAGGTTCTTACCTGATGTGGCCAATCAACTCAATAAGCTTGTGACTGAAAAAATAAGCTGTCAGCTCAGACACATGACTTAGGACGGAACAGACCCCGAAGAGGGTGGTGGTTCCATTCAGGTCCTCCAGATGCCAGTAGAGAAAGGTGAAGACGAAGCCATAGCCAAACCCCATGAACCAGGCCACAAACAGCACTGAGCCGTACTGCACGCTGCAGAGCAGTCGGATCAGGTCCCAGAAGTTGAAGGCCTGCGAGTGGCTCGTGGTGGTTGGGGTCTCCTCAGAGGACTCGGTAGAGCTGTTCCTCTCCACCTGTGGGATCTCTACCTCCTTCCCTTTGCTTTCATTACTGTTGAAGTGGTTGTAGCGGAACCGGAACTGGGTGGCAACAATCAAGGCCATGGTCATGAGCACGCCAAAGACGATGAAGACGATCTGGTAGTTGCGGTACTCGGGGGGCTTACACCCCTTTCCGTCGATAAACACTTCAATGTGGGTGTAGTCAATCCCGATGCCCACAGACAGCATGGCCAGACCCCAGCCCAGAGACCCCCACATGCGCTGCAGTCCGTATCGGTCTCGGTGTTTGCCCAGGTACTGGAGTGTCACCGTGTCCACAATTGTGACGGAAGAGGCGCTGAAAAACTCCCCGATGATGACAACGACCAAGATCACTAAGAAGATAGCTTCGACCTCTTGTTGATCATAAACGAGTGTGACCCGGTCTGAAGGTAAAGGTTTTGTGGTCGTGAAAACAGCCGTGGTGGTCAACTTGGTCACATTTCCTGGGTGGGTCGGGCTGGCCGTGCTTGGGTTCAAGGTGAAGTCAATTACGGCACTAGTAGCTTCATCCGTGTGAGGCCACAGGGTGGACAGGGGGGTCTTGCTTGGAGCGATGGAAGAGACAGCAGTTTCTGTGAAGTTGGAGTCTGAGCTGTTTAGCATCTCTGGCGAACTAGATGAGAACAGGCTCCTTTTCTCCCGTATTCTCTGTGCTGTGGTCATCAAAGGGGTCGTGGAAGAATTTGTTGGCATAGTGGTCAGTGGGTGACTTGAATTTGTGGGGTGAGCCGTTGGGATTATCTTTGGTACACATCTCAAGGTGGCAGGTTTGACAAATCCGATGCCCAGGTTGAATAACACCCAACATAAGAGGGAAAACAGGAGGACAATCTTGCCTTTTCTAAAGCGATCTGCAACCACTCCCCAAAAGGGGGCACTGCAGAATTCAATGAAGTATCGAATTCCTACTAGCAGTCCACTCTGGCTGGGGGTCATTCCCAGCTGTTTGTAATACACAGGCAAAAGTGGATAAAGAGAGCCATAGGCGGAGTAAAAGAAAAAATAAAATACCTTGGAAATTAGAAGATCATTGTTGATTTTCACACAATGCTTCTCTATCCAGTCTATTTCCTCATTGGGAATAGCAGCAGTTTCTGTAGAGGAGGGCGTTTCATTTGCAGGCGGCTCCTGTTCCCTGGCAATGCCGTTAAAGGGATCAGCAAGTACATATTTCCTCTTCTGCTCCTCTTCATCGTCAGTCAGGATGGCAACTTTATCATCTGCCGCCATGGCTTCTCTCCACCATCAGAAAGTTTATTACCTTCAAAATTTTGATTATTGATCTGGAAAGTAAAATTTTAAAAATTGGTTAGTGATGTAATAACATTGAAACAGAGCTTCAGCATCCAGGAAACAATCATTTCAAACAACAGCTACGAAATAACAACTGTGTGAGGGCATTCACATCATGTACCACTTGTAGTCATACAATATTGATGAAGAAAAATTGCTTTCAAAAAAATCAAATACTTTTTGTGGCCACAGATGGACTAATTACTGATTCTCATGGGAGGGTGCTAGCTCAGGCCCATTCTCCATCTTTACACTTGTTCCTAGGATGTTGTCTAAACCAAGTACAAGGTACAAAATAAACTATTTGCAATTCCTCAGTCTCACTGTTCCAATAAATCTATAATACACCAGAGTGTTCATAAATGTTTGAAAATAAAAGTAACTAAAACAATTAGCGATAGCACAGTGGGTAGGGCGTTTGCCTTGCACACAGCCAACATGGCCAACACGAGTTCGATTCCTCCGCCCCTCTCGGAGAGCCCGGCAAGCTACCGAGAGTATCTCGCCTGCACGGCAAAGCCTGGCAAGCTACCCGTGATGTATTCGATATGCCAAACACAGTAACAATTGTCACAATGGAGATGTTACTGGGCCCGCTCGAGCAAATCAATGAACAACGGGAAGACAGTGACAGTGACAGAGAAAAACATAGTTCCTGATTATAACTATAAATCTAACAAGAAAGAGGGAGAAACTGCACTTGTTTGCAATGGATCTGATTGCAATGGGTTGTGACTACAGCCACAACAAATACATCTTGTAAGCAAGTCACCCCCATATTGCATATAACACTAAATATGGCATTGTTCCAGATATGTGTCTTAAAATGGATTACCATTTAGGAAAAGAAGAATGAAGAAGAAAAGAAGGAAGAGCAAAAGGAGGAGGAGGAGGTGAAGAAGAAGGAGGTGATGGAGGAACAGGTAGACATTTATTGAGCACCCCCTCCATGCCAATTGCCATTTAAAAGAGCTGTGTGTGCTAAACCATACTCACTGCAACAACTCTACCATTGTCTCCATTTAACAGATGAGAAAAGTGAGGCAGGAACCTGTTAAATCAATCAATTCACTGAACTCATAAAATTTCTTAAACGTATTTCAACTCACATCACACCAAACACACACACACACACACACACACACACACACACACACACAAAATCTGTGGTCTCTTTCACACCAGCAGATGCCAAGAAAGGAGCCAGACTGGCTGCCTAACTAGGCTACTATGAAGTACTCCAACCCCTCCACGAAGCTGGCATCAGTGATGGTGAGTGGGAACTGGGATGCTGATCGTTGCTGTGTAGGACTGAGGTTTTATGTCCACAACAGAGTTGAGTAGAAACCACATGGGCAAGTCTGGGTGCCCACCCTGGCCTGTCAGTATCACAGCACCGCTGCTCTTCCACACTGGAGTGTTGACAGAGGAGGCACTTCACCAGCAACCAGCAGTAACCAGACTCCTCCCCTGCCGATGGTGTCAGCAATGGCTGCTTGGGGAGCAGCAGTGACACCCCCCCCCCCCCATACACACACGCACACACTCTCACAGCCAGCCTACAGTAGCAGAGAGTACCACTGGCAAGCCATGTCCACCTCACAGACCAATCAGCCTTTCGCCCATGAATGTTAAAAGGGGCTAGGTGGTAAACCTGGGCTCTTAGAACCTTCTGGAAGTAATGAGGCAGCATCTCCAATTCCCTTGCCAGGCCAGTGTCAGAAATCTAGCTTAAAAACAGAAGAATTAAATACAATCCAAGACCTTATGATTTCCCAAATGTCAAAGTTTCCATTTAAAATAATGCATCAGGGCCAGAGAGATAGTACAGGGGTAGGGAGGTATTTGCCTTGTCTTTCATGCCGCCAAACCTAGTGTAGTCACGAGCATGGCATATGCCCCGCCCTCTGGCCCCAAGCACCTCCAGGAGTGGTACCTGAGCACACAGCCAAGAAAGTCCCAGCAAATAAATATATAGTTTTTTAATGGAAACTTTATGGGAGCCGGAGAGCTAGTACAGCAGGTAAGGCACTTGCCTTCCATGCAGCCAACCCAGAATCAATCCCTGGCGTGCTATATGGTCACTCAAGTCCCAAGTGATCCCTTAGTGCGGAGCCAGGAGTGAACCCTGAGTACATTCAGGAGTGACCCCCAAACAAAACAAAACAGCAGCAACAAGAAAAGGACTCTTTTGAACTAGAAAATAGAGCAATCAAAATATTTTTTAAATGGCTAGAGAATGAGGGGGAAAGAGAGTAAATTAAAAGATACAATAGAAATTGCACAATCTAAACAACAGAAAAAACACCTAGAAAAAAAAATAAAGAAAGAACAGTGCCTCTGCACCTGCAGGACTGTAACTAAAGGTCAAATATTTGCATCATCAGAATCCTGGGAGGGGAGGAGAGACAGGGCTGTGTTGAAACCCTGACTCCTGAACTAACTCAAAAACAGAAATGCTTAAAACATGCCTGCATTTCGTAGCAAAGACACCAAGATACAGATTCAATACAAAAAATAAATAACCTCCAAATACAAACCCATGAAGCTATACATAGTCACACTCTGGCAAAGCATGACAAAGAAAAACCTTGCAAGCAGTGACATAGGAATCACAAATTACTAATAAGAAAATTCAGAAGATGGCAGTTCTCACATTAGAAATCATGGACACCAGAAGGAAATGACATAATAATCTCTTAAGTGCTAAAAACACTGCTGAGAATCTGAAGTCAGAAAAAAAGATAGTCCCAAGGGGAAGGAGCAATAGCACAGAGGGTAGGGAGTTTGCCTTACAAGCAGCCAACCTGGGTTTGATTCCCAGCATTACATATGGTTCCCACCCCTGACTGGTAGAATTCCTGAATGCGGAGCCAGGAGTAAGCCCTGAGCACCACCAGATGTGGCCCCCAAAAAAAGAAAGAAAGAAATTTAAAAAGTCCCAAGCCTAGAAAGCAACAAAGCAACATGCCTTATAAACATACACATAAAAATACTTAACAAAAATGTGGTGGGTAGACATGGCACTTTTCTTGCACATGGCCAACCCTGGTTAATCCCTGGCACCACATAAAGTTCCCCAAATGTGACCAGGAGTGATCACTGAGCACAGAGCCTGAAGTAAGTCCTGGTCCAACTTCCCCCACACCCTACACCAAATACTTAACAAAATATTAGAAAAGATGATATATATTTGATATATCTGGCAATATATAAAATAAGTACCTATTGTAGTTAAGTGGCATCTACTTCAGGGATACAAGGATGGTGCAATATTTGAAATTTAGTAAGTGCTATCCACCAAGTTAAGGGAAAAGTGCGTATGGGCCAGGGAGATAGTTCAAGGTTCAGGATTGCATACCACACATGTACAAGGATCCAAGTTTAATTCTCAGTAATGCATGGGACACTGAGTACCACCAGGTATAGTGCTAGCAGCCACCACATTATCCTTGGGGGGGCCCTGGACTCCTGAACATTTCTCAAAAAATAATACCCACCCCCCAAAAAAGATAAACAGCATTATCACGATCTTATCATTCAAAGCAGAAAAGGCATTTAAGAAAATTAAACATTCATTCATTAGAAGTCTTAGAAAAAAAGGAACAGAAGGAAACTTTTTCAACTAAATAAAGATCGCCAATTTTTAAAAAAAAAAAAACAACTGAAGGTAAAATTACACTTAACAGTGAAAGATGGAATTGTTTTCTCTAAGACAGGGAATAGGGCAAGACTATCTGGTCTCACCACTCTTATACAACAGCGCTGGAAACTCTAGTCAATACAAGGGGTTGGGGGTGGGGGTGCAGAGGAAACAAATGGAAAACGGTTAGAAGGGAAAAAAAGCACTCTATAGCTGTCATGGCTATCTGTGCAGGAAATACCAAGGTAGATACACAATCTTCTCTAAGTAGTAAATAGGTTCATCAATTTCCCAGGATACAAAAAAAAAACCTAAAAACTTTAAGTTTAACTGTGCTCTACATACTAAAAATGCACACAGCAAAATTAAAAACATAACCGTTTGAAATTGCTAAAAAAATTTAAGAACTAGAAATTTTGTTTGAGATGAATGAAACGTGCAGGACAACACACTGACAACCATAAAATGAATGGTGAGATATACTATGTTTGTGAATGAAGGTGGAACACTCAACCGTAGTAGATATTTCAATTCTCCTTAAATGTATTTATTTGTTTTTCTGTTTGTTGGGGGCGACGCTCAGCAATACTCAGGGCTACTCCTGGCTTTACGCTCAGGGATCACTCCTGGAGGGTTCAGGGGACCATATGGGTTTCAAGGATGGACCTGGGTGGGGTCAGCCATGTGCAAGGCAAGTGCCACTGTACTATCACTTTGGCCCCCGATTCTCAAATTTACATACGGGTTAAATTAACACAATCCCTAGCACAATTCTATAAGATTTTCTTGTAGAGACAAGATTTTCTAAAATCCGGTGAAAAGGAAAGTGTGCGTGGCAGGAGATGGCATAAGGAAGACCTATGGAAGGCCATGGGATTGATCCCAAGGGTTACTGCAGGTATCAAGCAAGGCACTGTTCTCTGTGAACCCAGCACCACCAGGACTTCCAGCCACATTACCGCCATTGTGTGTGAGCACACTGCAACCTAAAGTACATGATGCCTGGCAGCACCATGAGCTAAATACACAAGCAACACACCCAAGTCTAAGTAGGCTCCAGTTACGGCAACATCATCATCAAAGGATGGAAAGGAAGATGGAAAAAGGCAAGGCAAGGAAAAGAAACTAGAACAGCTAATCCTTCCTCTTTCCCTCCTTCCCTCCTTCCCTCCCTCCCTTCCTTTCTTCCTTCCCACTCAGTTGAGCTCAGGGCTTACTTTTGGCTACATGTTTAGCAGGTTCAGGGGATCTTTTGAGATACCAGGGGTTGAATCTATGTCAGTTGCATGAAAGGAAAATGCTCTATCTTCTGTATACTATCACTCCAATCTTAAAAGG